GTGTGTGGACAAATCCTCCCATGCCTTGTCTCCATCTCTTTGTTTGGGGGTGGGGAGTTTAACCTTCTGCCTCTTGTCATCCAGAGGAATGCAGCCAGGGACAGAAAGCACAATGCATGTTACAGCTCTTTGCAAAATTGAAAACCCCTAACTGTTCCATGTAGCACAACTCCAGGTCCATGCCAAACTCTATTCTGCAGCTAGAGACGTGACTGAAGGGACTGACCATCCCAGTGCTGTCAGTCTCTCCCACCATGCCAGCCAAGGCTTTGTTACCAGGAAACACCTGCGTTTGCAAATCTTTGAATTACGGAATTAATTAAGCTCTTGGACAATTCCATATTAATCACATACTATCAGCCAGGTATAGTATCTCTCTGTGGTAGACGATGCAAAACAAATTACTATGACCCTCGGTGATGATTCCATCAGCTCCTTTATTATAAAGAAACTGTGCTGGAGAACCCAACTGGGAGATAAAGAATTTTCCTCTTACCGCTGCTTAGCAGCTGTGCAAAGTTTGGTAAATCACGTGACCTCTTTGAATCTTTCTCATCAGAAAAAGAAGAATAAAAAGTCATCATCCCACAAAGGATTTTTGTTTGTTTCCTTCCCTATAGAGAAAGTAAGATAAAGTAGCTAACTGGGTATTTCGACCATAGAGCAAAATACCAATCATGCAAAGATGAGGTTACTTTTTATTATCCAAGGTCATCAAGATCATTAAAGTGACCCTAGAAAAGTCAGTCATCCTAGACTTTGCTTTTCTTTCTTGACTCCTGTAACCTTAAGCAACCTGGGGAAGAAGTAATTGAGCAGCAACTACTACTTCGGAAGAAACAGAATCAAAATATTGGAACTATTGACTCACCCTTCAGGCAGTAAACAGCGCCTTGGTCTCTGACCTTTTCGCATCCCAGGGCAGTCAATAACCTAGCCACTAGATACAGCGCCTGCCACTGATTTTGATTTGGGAGTAGTTTAACCTTGAACTGAGCTCCAAGTAACCAAGGCAACAGGAAGTCAGCTTTTACATAGAAGGAGTAGGAATCCATAAATCAAGTCCCTAATGCAAACATGGTGTGCAGGTAGAGGTTTGAAGGGATAAGTAATATATGAGAAATTATCTTTGAACATGAATGATTGTCCCTTGATAGGCTACAGCACAGTTGCAAAGACTTTTTAAACTTATCAATAGAGGTCAACAGGTTATGAAAGAATGTTTTCCTATAGGTTTAACTTTTTTTTTTGTTTTCATTTCCTCTTGGCTCTGTCTTTTAATTGTGAACAGATGTGGGATCCACAAAGCTATTAGTATTGTTATTTCCTCCTTTAAAAACATATTGGATGCCAAATATACAAACTTTGGTGCAATATGTCTTTGGTTAGATTTAAAGATATAGTGAAAACTTGTGCCAAGAGTGCTCCTCTTGGCCTGTTCTGTGAGTGTGGGACAGTGAGCAGGTTGCACATCATAGATACCTTTGTCTTTCCTCATGCTCCAGGATAAGCAATGGTGCTACATTCCGGAGGGCCGGTCAGCACAAGACTGTTTCTGGATTTCCTTACAATGCATCAACTTCCAGCCTTAGAAATCATTTTCTGCAGGCAGTGGAAAGCCAAAATCATGCTGGGCAGAGAGCTTCTAAATGTTCTACCATTTTGCTGCTAATTACCACACAGCATCAGCCTCCACTTGGAATGAAGGCAAATGGAAACTTCCAGGGGCCAACCTGCCCCATGCCGTCTCCCAACCAGCAGTCATCACCGCTTTCTCCAAGAGACCTGGGCTCTCAGATTCTGTGGACTCAGTGCTCACAGTGCCTAGAGACTAGCCTTTGTTTAAAATTTATGGACACTCTTGCCTATGTTATATATTATTCCTGGGGTTGTTTTCCTTATCTTTTCAAAATCCCAAAGTGACTGAGAAAAACGCCAGTGCTTTTCTTTTTTTTTTTTTTGATGTTTGTTTTCAAATTCATTGGATGCCAACTACAAGCGATACTATAATCTAGGAAATACTAAATTATCTAGGGTTTTCAAGTGAGCTAAAGAGTGACAATTTGAATTATAGAGTGTTTTAAGTACCATTTTATTACTTTTAATGTATTCTGTAACATAAACACTCGAGTAGCAAAGTATGCCCAACAGAGGTATGATCCGATCAACTTTAATGAGATGATGCGGACTGAGACTAATTTGGATTGTGAACATTTGCATGAAAATGGGTACAATTAAAATCACTTGAAATCAATTTCTTCCCAAGTGAGAGTTAAATATCCAACTACTAATCCTGTTTATGGCCTTCATACCCAGAGTACATCATAATTTGAATAAAGAACTATCTGTCCCAACAGTGTCCACAAAAGCATAGATGACATACCAATGAATTTTTTCCTAACAACTCTTGTCCAATTGAACTCTGGTGTCTTGCAGTATTAAACAGAGTTTCATGGAAAGTACATCTGCACGGAGTCTGTGGATTATTGCTGTGAGGATGCAGAGTGGCAAAATGGAAAGTTTGAGGCAGTCTCTTAGTGCAGCAGAGCAACAAGGCACATCAGCATCCGTTGCAAAGTATCTCAATTTCTCTCTCTTTGTCTTTCTCTTTCTCTCTCTCTTTCTCTCTCTGAGTGTGTAAGTGTCTGCCCTTCAACAAATAAAAATAAGTAAATGAAAATGTAGGTGTGGAATTTGTAAGTATTCACTTTAGAGGCCAATGCCATGGCATAGCACCCTAATCCTCAACCTGCATTGCCTCTTGGGCACCAGTTTGAGTCCTGGTTGCTACACTTTGATTTCAGTTCCCTGGGAAAGCAGCGGAGAATGCTTTAAATCCTTGGGCCCCTGCATCCATGTGGGAGACCTGGAGGGCACTGGCTCCTGCCCTCAAACCGGCCCAGCTCTGGTCTTTGCAGCCATTTGGGGAATGAACCCAGTGAATAGAAGATCGCTCTCTCTCCTTCTCTGTGTAAATAAAAATAAGATAAATCTTTAATAAAAGAAAATATTAACAAAGAATAATAGGAAGTAAAAATAAGCTCTCTTCTTCTTCAGTCTTCCCTGAGCTCTTCTCCCTCACCATAAATAATGTCAGCTACTTGAATGTACTTCTTATACATGAGTCGGTACACATTGAAGCATATTTTATGGTTTGACTAAGCCCACCTCTGGTATAAACTAGACATATTAACTATACCTTCTAATTTCTCAGTGTCTTATCTTACAATCTTCTGTCACAGAATATGATATTTGTCTATCTCAAAATCCAAAATGCTATGAACTAGATATCCATAAAGAGAAAGCTTAAGTGCTATTATAATTCATGAATCTCCTGCAGAATTTTCAGAAATTCTGATGGAGAATAAGAGGAAATTAGAAAGTAAATGAAAATGTCTGCCAGATCTGCTCTTTGGGTTGTTATAGGTGTCTTGACTGGTTGTGATACTAGGAAACATGCGCTTAGCAGACTGCAGTCATAGTCAGGCACAGAATAATACAGTCAGGTGGACAACAACGATCCCTGGGCTTACCAGCTGGCTGCTTGGAAGCTTCCACCCCGGACATTGTATGCTATATGAGTTTATTTAGTTCTCCCTTAAGCTCTTAAAAATGTGTTCTCATCTGTAAAATTGAGAAAATAGTAATATCCACACTGCATGCTTCAGAGGGTTGTCACAAGGCCCAAGTGAAGCTGATCTCACTGAGTTTGTAAGATAGTGCTGCAGAGGTGGGGGCAGGGAAGTAGGTGCTGCATCACTCAGGTTGGTTAGGATGGAGAATAGTGTGATAAAACCCTATTCGTTCTTGCTACTGTCAGTGTCACACAACCTACCAAAGAAGAAACTCTGAAGAGATAACCATTGGCATGGATTCAGACACCCTGGCCCTTTGCAAATCTGCCTGAATAAGCTACATAGGCACTGTTTTTGCAATTGGGGAAATCAAAGGTGGCTATAAATCCTTGGTCATGCCAAGGAAGCAAAATGAAATTTGGTTTATTGGTTACATTTGGGTCTGATGAAGCAGTGAAGGATAGCAATGATGACAGTGGTAACAATAGGAAAAACAACAGCAGTATGAGACATTTGTATAGCATAGACTATGTTATAGTATTCCAAGCATTTTACACTGATCAATACATTGGATGCTCAACAACCCATGCAAGGCAGTCTGACACTGTCTTGATTTTTAAGTTCAGAAAATTTATTGTAAAAATTCAATGTTTGAAGCTTCCAGAAGCGAAGGAACTTTCTGTTAGTTGATATCCCTGAAATTATCAAGCCTGAATCCAAGCTCAGGAAATAAGGGTCCAGAACAGCTTAGCTTTTAACATCATTCTGATGTGACTTGCAATTCACATTATGATCATGTTCCTAAAGGCCACCAACTCAGCTTGCTGATGAACTTTTACCTGAAATTACACTCTAGTGCCACAATGCATCTTCCACCTCCAGCAGGCTAGCCTTTTATTCAGATGATGTTCATTCCTCACCCATGTCTTAGCATGTACTATATTCAGTGCTCAATATCTTTGAATGCCTCACATGGCTTGGATGAATACAAGTTACACACACTTGTTTAATAGTTTCTCATTTTTATTTAGTTCCATCTCCCCCTTGGTTAACAAGTCGCAAAGCTCATTGGGATGGCAAGCACCTCTTCAACTCCTGAGCTTCCCTTCATGTTGTACCAGATATAGCCTCCATAAATATGGATTTGTCACACTTTGGACCACAGAAGGGCACCTAATGGATTACACTGCTTCATTAGACCTATACCCAGTCCAGGCTCTCAACTTGAAATGCCATCATTACTAATCTGGTACCCAAACCAAAACCAATTGTGATTCTTTATGTTCTGTTTTCAGATGAAAAAAATTTAAAAAAAGCTTCTTGTACCAGAAAGGCCATTGGACTATTTCCTCACATCAGTATTTGTGATATTTACCTTCCTGTTTCTTTCAAGTAATTTCAGGCTTTTTCATTATTTCTTTTTAGGAATGCCAAGTCCTCACTTAAAAGTGGACCAGACAGTAGCACATGGTAAGAACGAGAGCTCAGTGTCCACCATGATGACCAGGAAGAAGCCAGCTGCAATGGACAGTGTTGCAATTCCACCAACCCCAGTGTTATCTCTCCTGGCTGCATCTGCAGCTACATCAGACCCAGGTGGGTACTTTTCAAATACTTTTGAATTTTCCAACAAATGCATGTGGACATGGAGAAGGTCTCTGATATATGTTCTGTTGAATACAGATCAGAAGTTCTTTGTTGAGCCAGCCTCCGTTAGACACTAAATATGTGTTCTGCTATTACACTGCATTTTGTGTGTTTCTTCCAGTTTTCTTTAGTGTTTTTAGGTTACTTTGTTTCTATAAGATGAATTTCATGAATTTCACAATACAATTCAGAGCAGAGTGATACTTCCCACCCTCCCTTCCCTCCTTCCCATGTTCTCCACCCACATGCTTCTTTCCTTATTTCTTTTTTTCTTTGCAATGGCATGCTTTTCAGTTCACTTCATAATCACAGAGTTAATGCTCCATTTAGTAAAGATTTCAGCAAATAGCAAATAGAAAAAATAACCTACTCAAAGTGTAGACAAATGCTATAAACAAAAATGAATTCTCAAAATGTCAATTTTGTTCACATAGATTATATTTTTTACACTTTGTGTATTAGTTGACACATATCAAGGGATATCTGTCTTTTTGGTACTAGATTGTGGTTTCCATTTACATCCATTTTAATGCAAAAGACAGAATTTCATTCTTTTTATGACTGAGTAGTATCCCCACTCTGTGTGTGTGTGTGTGTGTGTGTGTGTGTGTGTGTGTGAGTGTCTACTATGTTTTCTTTATCCAGTCATTGTGAATAAAATTGTGATAAAACTTGAAGTGTTGATTTCATTTAATTGGGTAATTTCTTAGGAATGATATTTCCTGGTCATATGGTAGCTCTATTTTCAAATTTCTGAGGATATCTGTACTTTCTTCCAATGTGATTGTATTTTCATGTCCCCACCAATAGTGGTTTGGGGTCCCCTTTTCCCCAGACTTCATTTGTTAACTGGGTGGAGAGCTAAGATGAGCTCCACAGCTGTTATTAATTATTGCATAGAGGACTGTCCATAGATTATCCATTGCAACGCATCAAGAACTTGGGAAATAAATATTTTCATCCTTAATTTAAATAAAGGAAACTAGGAGCAAAGTAAAAATTTTGCTAAAAGTAAAATTTTCCCCCTAGGAATCTGTGGAATGTCAGGGATCCAAAGCCCATTGCTTTCAACTATCGCACTTCACTACCTCATTCCTCATTGAGGTTAAAGTGGTCAACACTGAGTTTTCCAATGGCTCTAGTTCATTTTACCCTATTGTTTCATGTATTGTTATATTGTTCAGAGAGCCTTTGCCAGTGTTCAATAAAATATAGCTTCTTATTCAGATATCCCAAGATAGCCCAAGATCTCCACAGGCTTGCCTTTGCTACAACTGCACTTTTCCACTCTTCACATGTTCTGTCAGGAGTCCCAGTGTCAGCACTCTGTTGGCCAAGCTTATCTCAGCCACCAAGATGGCCAGACTTGGATGTGACTTACCAGCTGGGCTTAGAGACAGTCCTCACAATATCTGTTTGTTGTGTTTCAGATCAAGCAGCAGCCAGTCACAGCTCCTCCACATGCCAATAGTATCCAGTGTCTTGACCCTGAAGCTATAGTCTTTTCGGGGAACACATTTGAAAAATGCTTTCTACTGAGCTTTTCCCTTGCCACCAAATGTTTCATACCTCAGAAAAAGGGTCTATAATTTAGATACTTGTTACATCTTCGTGTCATGGAGAATGGTGGTGCAATCTGTAGATATGTGTTGAATTAGCACATTAGTAAATATATCAAGCACATTGCAGTCTATAAAAATGCCTGTTCTTTTTATAAGCCCAAGGAGATATTCCCTATTAATACTCATTCAAGGCTCAGCATCTCATTCAGCTGCTTTGAGTAAAGGATTCAACCAATCTTCACATTGATCTCCTTCATAGAAATAAGCCCAACTGAGCCCAAGTGAAATAACAGAAATAAGTATTTGGAATGACAGTTCCAAGTTGCTCTCACCAATGTATTAAGAATTATTTTGTCTTAAAAGAAAAGCTGTGTCAACCTTTAAGTGAATGTAGGGGATGCTACCTTATATTTGTTTTCTTCCTGCATGACTTTCCGAGAGTTTCCAGCTGACCATTGTGCATGCCGAGGTCCAAAGAGGGATCGTCAGAGAGATTCATAATCTTATCCAATCACATGACCTATTTTTCTGGAACTAGATCATTATTATCTATTAGAAATTATGTTCTCAGCCATTTGGGAAATTTTGCTTGGAAGGAGTGGGTTCATCTCTCAAATGCAATCTTGACTCTTCACATCTTTTGCTCACTTGATATAAGTTTTAGGTTGCAATGCCATGTAATTGATACCATCGAGAGCAATAAATCGAAGGAGGAAGAGTCACATAGGGATGTAGAAGAAATTATCCTTGCAGTCTGTTGGGGTGTATTTTGGGGTGGGAGGGAGGACAGGTATTCTTATATGAGAAGGTATTCTGCTAGCAAGGGGCAAATGGGGCAGAATCCTAGAAGTGGGAACTGAACTGTAAGAGGGTATCACTTCCTGTAGTAAAAGTGCTGTCATGGTCTGCACTATTCATCCATATTACTGTTTATGTAACCTTATGGTGAACTCCTGGAGACCTCCCTTTGTGGATTCAGAAATTGGCCTGTGTGTTTTTGACTCTGCTTGCCAAGTACAGATACTTCCCAGAGGCCAAAGACAGGTGGTCACCTATTCCTTTCCTTGCACTCTCCCCAGTCGGTGTGAGAGAACCCATGCTTAGAATCATGTGCTTATATAGTCTTGTTTCCTCCATTTGTGTACTGTAAGTGATTTATAAATCTGCCAAATGAGTGGCAGGAACTATTGAGTATTATTAGATTTTTAAATCCACCTCTCTGGTGATCAAAGTCAAAACTTTCTTGTTTCAGGATGCAAGAATGAGCTGTTTTATTTTTCCCAATGCTAACATGAGACCCTCATGAGAACTGGAGAGATCTGGGTCATTTCCGTGTTTTAGGCTGCTATGCAAAAGTGGTTTTTCTTTTTTTCTTTTCTTTTTTTTTTTTTCGAGTGGGGGAACAGACCAGAGATCTCCAGGTGCTGGAGGCCTGACCTTCCTGAGCTTTCACTCCCCACGTATAAAACGACTTTCCACAAACTGGAGAGAGTTAGACACACATACACACATACAGACTGGGCTTGTAGCCAACACTTTCTTTTACATGTGAAGAAACGGATGCCTCCTGAGATTCAGAAATTTTCCTGAGGTGATTCAATTGGATAGAAACCCACATTGCATGATTTCCCATCTGCTTTCCAATGGAACCCCACTTCTGCACAGACCCAAAGTGAACAAAGGCAAATTGCTTTCTCCCTGGCAATAAACTTCTACATTTGGAAAACTGTAACTGTAATCCATAGTTTGATATATGGATGACGTCAACAAAGCCAAGCACATAGTAGGCAGCTCATTGTTTCTTGAAGTGATTTTATTTAATGGGTATTAGTGCCCTAGTAATAGATTTCTGATGAGACAACTCATTTGAGTTGTCTTTAGAATGCTTTTATTCATCTTTCACTGCGAGCAAGATCATTTAGAATTATATCCAATTGTTTAGACAAATCAGCTTATTTTCTCATAGGCTCCATTTTTCTAGGATGAATTTGGAGATGCAGGCAATTTTAGAGATAGGAGTAAGAAAAAAGTGTTATATTCAATTGCTAGCAAACCAAAATACAACACATAGTGATGGGAGACGACACTAAAATAATTCAATTTATTTGAAACTGTTTAATTAAATAATAATGGCATCAGGCAATAGTGGTTGAGGCATTAGTCAAATGATTCTCCATGCTGTGCTGGATAGCCTGAGATCAGGTTCTGGCCCCTCCTCTCAGCTTCCTGTTAATACAGACCTTGGGAGGCAACTGTGGTTGTCCAAGTGATTGGCTCAATTGATTGGGTTCATGTGAATTGAGTGCTAAGCTCTCTGCTTTGGCCCATGGCAGTCGTGGGTTTTAAGGCAGTAGAGCAACCAATGGGAACACACACACTCTCCCTGTCTCTTTCTCTTTTCCACTCCCTTTCACTCTGTATAAGAACTAACTTTATTTTAAAAGAATAATTATAAGTTTTGTAATATAATTATTGATACATAATAGATGTTCAATAAACAATCACTGACAAAATGCATGATTGAGAGGCAATAGCTTAAATACAACACTGACAGCAATGAAGGATGTCAGAAAAACCTACTTGTTGTTGGAAATAAAGATCAAATGGGGGAAATTACAATAGGCACATTATTGTACATGTATAAATTGGTAAAGCTTGCCAAATAGTTCATCAGCATGTAGTCATAGTATATCTGTGTGTAATGCTTTTCCAAAGAGATGATCTTTGGTAATTTTTTTAAAAATTCCTCACCTTATTTTATAAATGTTATAATGTGATTCAAAATACTGTGGTTAAAAGTTGAAGAATGTGTCATCAAACTCAAGTGCATGTGTGTGCATGTCTGTACGTATATTACAACCATACACATAAACAAAGGAATCCCTACTTTTTAGCTTTAGGTGACCTTCGAGTTTCTCAGAGTCAAAGAGGCAAGCTGATTATGAAGTTATTGATTTGTGGGAAGGGGGCAGTCCAGGAGATGCCAGAATGAGTGGCCAGCTGAGAACAGGTTGGTGTGTCAGCCACTTGGAAAAAGGGAGGGATGGTGGTGTTCAAACAGGTCAGCCGTCATGATCAAACTGATCAATAGGTATTGATCTGCTGCAGTCCCTTGGCAGAGCACAGGAGATCTGCTTCTAAGAAGCACTGCATCATTATTGTGAGTAATTAGGGCTAATGCAGTAGAAGCTTCAATAAAGTTTGTTCAAAGTGATGCACAATTTGAAGCAACTTCTGTTACACTAATGTATATACATATAATATGTATAAGAAATCTTCAAATTACAACTTCCTACAAGCCCAAACTATTCATTTAAAACATATGCTAAAAACTTTCCAAAGAAGATCCAGAGAAAATAGAATTTAATTTACCAGTAGTTATTGTAA